ATTTATAATATACATTCATATTTTCAATTGACCATAGTGTCACCAATCATCCAGCAATAATGGAATAGTTTTCCATTATTAATTATTAATCCATAAAGTGGTTAAGTATTGAAATATATTTTTTTAAACATGCATTTTCTTTTCATGCATGTTTGGTCTTCTTAATATTTCCTACAACTTTCCAGTCAAGCAGGTTACAAAATTGAGGAAAAGTTTAGCTTCCAAGGAATTTTGGATCTGGGGTGGTCACTGACTTTTCTGGATGAATCCATAGAAAAAGCTATTTAGCTGTGTGACATCATAAGGTCTTTGATTTTTTAAGTCCTCATCCTTGGAGGATGTCCTTCTGAGCAGAAAGAAGCACGAATGGAACACATGAAATGTTGAGAGGGTGACCTTAGTTTGGCATTTTAAATAAATCAAGAAGCAGTAAATGGGCTCAGTGTGTGAAGAACCCTGCCTCCTAGCTATGCTAGCAATCGTCAATTGTGGTATTTCCCTCAGCTACTGTGTATTTTAAGTTTGGTATTTGGAATTGGGATTGCTTTTAATGTATTTTAACACTGTTCCCCACTCAGTCATTTATTGAGATTGACAGCTATAGTCATGGAATAAATAAATGCACAGACATGGAGAATTGTGAAGATATAAATTTCACTGTAATAATTTTTGAAATATAACAATAGCCTTATTCCTTCAAGCTGAAGGGGAAGTTTTTTAGGGAATGCAACTTTTAAAAAACCAACTTCTCTTTATTCTCCCTGCTGTTTACCATTTTGTTATTGTTGTTGTTCTTCTTTTCCAATTTTGTTTCTAAGTGTTACTTAACTCCTGTTTCCTTCTCAAGATCTTCTGCTTGCCATAATGGCCAAGTTGATGCAAGCACCCCCTAAGTTTCTGCCCCCCGAATGGTACATTGCTAACAAGATCCAATACAGTAGTGCCGAGGCCCAGCGCTCTCGTTCGGAACGCTTGGTGGATGAGAGCCAGCGGCTGGTAGATGAAATCGAGAGGACCACTCAGAAGACCCAGAGTGATGTCAACAAGAGAATAGGTGATGGGTGCTTTTGATTCATTTCTATGGATGTATGTGTACATGAGTCTGAAAGCGGGGGGGCGGGGGGGCTGAGCTTGCATAAGATGCTTGAACCATGTCAATTAAAGATCAAGTTGCTGTATTTGTGCAACAATATGCAAAGTTTTGTTTAAGTTTCATTATTGCTTTTTTTGGTGGGGGGAGAGTAGTATTTTGTGTCCATTTTGTTCGTTTGTGGTTATAGTATATCTGAGGGACCATCTCTTGCTGCCCGACCCACCAGAGCAGGCAGGCAAGAATGTTGCAGGTCCCATCCCCTAGGGAGATACACCTGGTGGGACCCAGAAGAAGGGCCTTCTCTGTGGTGGCTCCCTCTCTCTGGAACATCATTCCCACAGAGATTACAATGGCCCTTACTCTAACACTCTTCTGGAAGGCACTGAAGACCTGGTTCTGCCAGCAGGCCTGGGGAACGCAGAATGGGATGGAGCCCATTAAATGGTTCGTGTGATCTGCTGTTGCCGGAATGGGGCGTTATTATATTATTTTATTATGTGATTATTCTTTTATTAGTTTTATTATTTTATATATGAGGCTTTTATATTCCTGGAAGCCGCCTTGAGTTGCCATGTGCAAAAAGGTGGCAATATACATTTCCTAAAATAAATAAACACATATATAAATAAATAAAATACACACCCAGAAAACACAGATAACCTTCATAACCAGAATTGGGACCAGAATTTCCAATTTCTGGTAAGGCCATTGTTATTAAGAATTGTGCCTGATTTTATGACCTTTTGTGCCACAGTGAATCACTGCAGTTGTTAAGTGAATCATCCAGTCATTAAGTGAATATGGTGTCACCACTAACTTTGCTTGTCAAAAGTCAGGTTAGGTGGTTTACAAATGGCAATCACATGGGCCTTGCCCATGCTGCAACTATCGTAAATACTTACCAGATGGCAAATGCCCACATTTTGATTGCTTGTGTGGGGATGCTGCTCTGGCTGTAAGTGTGAGAACTGTTCATAAGTTCGATTCAAAGGATAAGGGATTGCTGGGTAAGGACTGCAGGAGATGGGACAATGGTGCCTTCATGTCACAGGAGTGGATGGACCCAAAAAGAACCCTATTTGAGGGAGGTTGAGGTGCAAAATAGATATTTGAAGCAACTAAAAACCAAAATGTGGAAATTGGCTTCCGTATGTTTTATGCTTCTGGTATAATGTTACAGGTTTTCCTGCTGTTGTGGGCTACCCAGAATTGTTTCAGATGGGGGACCATAGAAATCTTTTAAACAAATAATTTAAAAGATCTGGGCTTGTCCATGCTAGAATGGCTGTGGGATCCAGGGACCCTCAAAGGGAGTCTTAGATACTTGCATGCTGGCTGGGGTTGCCTGCTGAAGGGAGCTGTAGTGTGTGTTTGTCACAATTAATTTTATTTTATTATTTATTTTATTATTTATTTTATTTTATTTATTATTATTATTTTATTTATTTTATTTTATTCATTTTATTCATTTTATTCATTTTATTCATTTTATTCATTTTATTCATTTTATTCATTTTATTATTTATTTTATTTATTTCATTTATTATTTTGTTTATTTTATTTATTTATTTATTTATTTCATTTATTATTTTGTTTATTTTATTTATTTATTTATTTATTTCATTTATTACATTTATTTCATTTATTATTTTGTTCATTTTATTTATTTTATTTATTTTATTTATTTAATTTATTTTATTTATTTCATTTATTTCATTTATTTCATTTATTATTTTG